AACCACAGGCTGTGATAAGACTGTAGGCTTTAGATGTTCCCCTAATGCACTGCAGCATGAATGGAAAAGTTAAATGCTCTAGAATGTGTGAAATGTTAGTAGAATTATCTGCAGAGAGTGTTCTCTGCTGATATTAAGGGGAAGTGACTAGGGCAGAATATGTACTAAAATGCATTCTGTGCCTCATCAGCTGAGGCTGCAAACAGATTTCTCATTGAGAAGTGGTGTTCCAGTGTGCCTCAAGGACACGTGCAGATGTGTTTCCTCACATCCTACTTGGGAAGGTTTTTCACAAGCTGATTTGCATTTGTTCAAGGACAATTCACATATAGGAAGAGGGGAATTTTGAACAACCCTGAGCAGTCCTTTTATTATAATTCAAAATTAGAAGGACAACATTTTTCATAATTAGGGAAAAAAGCAGGAGCAGGTGAATGACTTCTTGTTATTAAAGAACAAATGAAAATTCCTGGCAGATAGTGAATGTGAAAATGAATTATGTTTTTGGATTGTTAGTAATAAGGTAGTGAATATTTCTTGTTAATGGAGGAGATATTTCCCTAGAATTGTTTGCTTACTTGCAATGTAGTGTCTGTCTTCTAGGACAACAAAAAATAATACTGTATATCACTGCTTTCTTTCCATATTTTTGTAGCCAATTGAAGCTCATAAATTCATAAATTCTGATGGATTCTAGTGAAATGCAAATACAGTAGGGAGATCATCTGTTTATTTTTGTTACTGTTATTAAAATTGCAGCTCATGAAGACAAACACTGAGTAATTGAAAATCAGTGTAACAGTAACCCCTACTAAAATTGGGCAGCAAAGTTTCTTGACAGAACAAAAAGGGAAAAATATTAGTACATGTTTAGAATGGTTCCCTAAGAAGTGGCATCCCTAGAGAGGTCTTTCCTACCCTTTTCCTTGGGGAGGTAGAGCTGTTGTTTTGAATTTCAAGATAAAACTTCTACTGTTTGAATTAAATAGCTAAAAATATTTGAGATTTCCTAATTACCGAGCAGACCACACTTCCAAATTATTCCTGCTAAAGCTTCCTGGCATCAGGTCAGATCAGGCTGGATCCAAAATCAATTTAAATCCTCTTGGATACCTGGATCAAATTCAGGGTAATGGAGCTGCAGTGTGCTGGAAGAGAGCTGAGCTCCTGCCACCCGTGGTGCTGGATTTGTCAGATGAGGGAGGGTGTGCACAGGTGCAGTGGTTTTCCTGGTCCATGCCATGTAGGAAAGCTGTCAGGAGTTTCTTTTGCTGTTATAGAGTTCATCAGCAGCTCTTGCAAAATCCTGTTTTGCCCACTGTGCATCTGCCTGCTATTTCCTGCTGCTCAGGGTGTGTCTCCTCCAAGGGTTTTCATCCAGAGCATTGCTCAGCCAAAAGTCTGTTCTTCACCATCTGCTTCAAAGTTGTGATGTGTGACTTGAGTGGGACAAAGCATGTTTTGCAGATGGATGATTTAGAGAGGATACTCTTGCTGACACAAGGTGTTTTCCTTGCTAACACAGCATCTATTAGGTATTTGTGCTCTTTGTCTACTCTGAAAAGTCTCCTGTGGGTATTTTTGGTTGCATCCCCTGTGTTTGACTTGCTGCTCTTCCCACAGGAGCATTCCTGCTATGGGAATAAGCCATTCATAAGCCATCAGATGGGACAGTCCTGTAAGGATGCTACTGGCACAAAACAAAGGCATTTATGTTCTCTTGCTGCCTTGGGGTCAGTTTCATAATTGTGTAATTTGGTTTTATCCAAGTGAAGCTGTTGAAAAGCAGAGTGGGATTTTTTTGTATTTATATTGGATTGTTCTAAAATTTATTTTGAATGTCATCACTAAGATAAGGCCATCACTGGGCATAATAGATGACTTACCACTTCACTGCACACCACAGGCCTAAATATATACTATACCTACTTTTTAACTTCTTTAACACTGATTTTCAAGCAACAATTTTGCAAATGGATCATACAGTTGAGAAGAAAATGTTACCATCATACTGGCAGCTGGGGCAAACTCTGTAGTGCTTAGAAGGACTGGGTGACACTGAAAAATATATATTTGTCATGTTGAAGCAGTGAGACTATAATCTGCTGGATACTTTATGGTAGTTAATTTTCACTCCTGCTTTCTGATTATTGATACTGAGGCTCTGAGGAGATGTGTTTTCTTACTGTATTTAACCAGTTACTTGGCATGTATTAAACCACTTAAAGCACATAATAACAAATGAGTCTTCATCACTTTGTACTTTGGTAGGGAGAGGAAAGATACGAGGTACAGACAACTTTATATTGCTGCTGTTTGATTTGCATGGTGACTGGGACACTTTCTAGGACTGACATGGACATGTTTCACCCTGGCAAACTCCTGTGTGTGAAGGGAGAGGAGGAAAGCCTGCTTTGTGTGTGTGTGGCTCTGCAGTGGCTCTCTCAGTGTGCCCATCTGTGGCACAGCCCGTGCTGTGGCTCCTGGCATGCAGGCTCCCTGCACTACTCTCACTGCCCTAAGTTTCACTGCAGTGCTCTTAGCAGAAGTATTCCTCTCTGTGTATCACTCCCTTATATCAGCAACTACTCCTTGCTTGGTTTACCCTTCAACATGAAAGTTTTCTGTTGCTTTTTCTTCTGGAAAGAGCAAACAATTTTCCTATTGCAAAAATCATGCCTTCTGTCTCTACAGAGCTGTGTCCCATGCAGGTGGGAGCTGACAATCCCTGCTGCCTTCTGGCATGTGATATAAATAGATTCTGAAAAGGTGAGGCAGGTTCAGCAGCTGGAGATAAGGACAGCACAGGAAACTCAGCCAGGATGAAATGATGATGTTGTATGGCTGAGAATTTCTTGCTGAAGCAGATATTGGCTGTGAAATGGTGGGAGTTCACCAGTATTGCATGACAGCATGACATCTCTTGTAGGAGAGATTTTCTAGAGATCTGTGGACAGATTTGACTTTGCTTTTTACCACCCATTTACGTAAAAAATATTTGAAATTGGAGAATGATTATTCCATTTCTGAGAATTTTCTTCCTGAATGCTGTTGATGAACTGTTATATTAGTTTCACTGGAAAGAGAAGCAAATTATTATTTTGGGCAGGTTTTCAGGTTTAATGCTGTTTTCTGGTGCTTGCCCTGTGCAATCTCAAATTAGCACATAGGTTTATATTAATATGTGACAATTCTGTCTCAATAACATGGCACTGAATAGTGTCTGTGAACAGAGTGGAAGGATAAAACAGAGGGTGCACCTGGTCACTGCAGAAGATGAGCAATATAAGCAAATATGTGTGTGCTGCCCTTCATTTCAGACTCATTGTGGGACACAGACACTTCCACACAGATCCTATTTTCCATTGAGCACAGCAGTCTGACTGTGGCCAAAAGAGAATGTCTATGGAAAGAATACATGGAACAAAGTAAAAACACTCCAGTTTTCTGCAAATTGCAAACATTCTCAGCAATGCAACAATTTAAGACTTTTTGACCCTATGGGCATACAGAAATTCCTTAATATATTTCAAGGAATCTGACAGATTAGATCATGCTTGAGTTCTCTGTAAAATGGTTATGCTGGGAGGTGAATCTTCCAGCTAGAAAATGGGCTAAGAAAATTATATTAGAAGTAGCAACATTCTCAGTCAGAGCTGGAAGAAGCAAACTAGTGTTTTAGTAGATGAGGATGACAGATACAAAAATGGCTGAAATTTTCAAGAAATTAAAATACTTAAAAACATCTGTTAAGATACTGCATGGCTCAGAGACTGGTAATAAATAATGTACCTTTTGCCTGCTCAGATTTAGTGAGGATCTGCAAGAATGCTATTTTTTCTATTTGTGACTGTCAAAGAGCTGATGCCACTGGACTCAATGTCATGTACCATTGTGATGAGTATTCATTTTTTTTGTGTATGAATGAATTCTCTACTTTGTTAGAATGATGGATTATACTCAGTACAGATGGGACTGGTGTTGGCTATGGTCTCCAATCATTAGCTCAGTGAGAAAATTCCCATTGATTTCAGTGGAAATGTGCTTATGCCAGTGCTGGAGTGCCTCTGAATGCTGACTTTGGCCCGTGGCCACTTGCAGGGCAAGGTTAAGTTTTTGTGTCAAAGCAGCAGTGTGTCAAGTATTTGTGCTGCTTGTTTGTGGATGCAATGTGGGTACAAAGACACAAACCTCAATCCTTGTTAATGTAATTTTTCTACCCATGACACTGGAATTTGGCACATTTCCTCCTCCATAAATACTACTTCAAGTACATGGCATTGCACAATCTGTGATGTGTGCAAAGTGTTAGTGACAAAAAGTTCTGTTTTCTAGGAATGGACTGTGAACTTCTGTACATTGTAGTCCAGAGCTGCCAGAATCTAGAAGTGTAGATTTGAGTTCCCTTTCCTGTTAGCACAGTGAAGTCAGAGTAATTGAATATTTCACTTCATGTTTTTTTGTCACAGTTGGATGTGGTTAGACACCCTCTTCTGGCTGGAATCTCAGATGCTTGGAGAGTTGAGATGGAAGCTGTTTAATTGGCTTTTGCTGCAAGTCCCAAGCCCTTTCTTTCTGACATCCACTGAGATTCCAGTTTATAAATGTCTTTACTGGATGATGGCTGTTGTGTATGAGGTCCCACAGTTGAGACCAAGGCTATACAATTTCTTCCCTAATTTAAATCTTCCTTAGATGTTGTCATTCTGAGGAGTATGTGTTTGAGATTTGCTCTGTCAAATTGTCTTGTACCAGGAAGAGTCTGAAAGAAATCAGCACAGAGGACAGAAAAGTGTCAGATCATTCTCCTTTCTCCTCTTCCCATTCTTCTTTAGTAAGAGAGAGGTATGTGACCCAACACTATCTGAGTCTATCTAGACAGTTGTCTAGAAGAATGTGAATTCTTTTTTCTATAGTCCATTCTAGTTTCAGCCAAGGAATTTTTCTTTTATTCTTTTTTTTTTTTTTTTTTTTTTTTTTTTTTTTTTTTTTAAGTGGTGTCAGATGAACCTAAATGTGGTGGATATTATTGAAGGAACAGCTGTTTCATTTAGGTGGTAGGCTGACTGGTTCTTTGCATGCTTATGGAAGTTTGTCAGTGTTGGTTCTGCCCTTGATTTTGTTTTGAATGTTTGGTTCATCTGGTATTTAAGTGGGCAAGTGATCCTGAGTGACACAGCCACCAAATTCTCACAACTTGGAGCTGATTCCAAGGAGAATGAAGAATTGTATTTTCTTCAGCAGTGATAAAAGAATTGATTTCCTGTGTGAGATCAACTATCTTTGTCGAGCTCATTTTGGATTTCCCAGTATATCAGGTATTTCTACAGCAATACATAATATGAAGGGGTATCTCTATAGATTGTTTAAGTTATTCTTTACGTTGCTTTTGGAGGGAGAATGTACATGGTGGACTATAGGATACTGAATTGGTAAAGAACCAAAAACTCATATCTCACTTTTCCAGCCTTTTGCATTCCAGATAGCTGAGCATGGGCAGAATAGATGAATCCCAGAGCTTATGACTCAAGACCATAATTTAAGCTCATAGAAGCACATTTCAAAAATACACTGAAAAATAAGCTGCTCAACTGGTCTTTTCTAGCAGTATAAAATGAGGCTTCTGGTGATATAATACTAGGTATTGTGTAGTGAGTTAGTAAGCATTTTAAGAATCCATTTATTCAGGGCTAGAGTTAGACATTTGTGTCCAGAGCAGCGTCCTGTTTTTGTTGAATCCAGGTACTGCTGACAGCAGGGGCTACTTAGAGGCTGCATGACTGATTCAGTGGTTATGCTAACAGTAAAGATTTTTGCTTCAATGTTCTTAGGGAAGGTACTATACCTGTATGTTGCTAATTTTATCAGTAATGTTCTATTACTTACCTGTTCAGTGGTGATACATCTTTCTGAGTTTACCTGAGCTGGAGCCTTTTACAAGCGTCAAGCTTACTGTCATCCATGAAACTCTTCTATCCGGACTGATTGTCTCTGCCAGTTATGGTGCTTCAGTGAATCAGCTGAGGAGGTTGCTCTACACCTCTGCATCTTAGCAAATTGCCTTCTGAGCCTTGGCACTGAAATGCTATTGGTTATGCTTCATTATCTCATTCAATAGAAATTCAGTCTCCTGAAGACTGCAATTAAGTTTCCTCTTTGTCTGAAAGGCACAGAATTTTACTGCAGTCTTGTTGGTTTTTCCCTGAAGCAGGGAAAGAAGAATGCAGAAAAACACCAAACCAGAAACAATACACTTTGACAGACTTTTCTTTTTTGTGGTAACTTGCTTTTCCACTGTGTAACATTGATATGATATTTTTGGTTCTTAAAGCTGGGTGGTAGTAACTGGAGGCATTTATTATTGCCTGAGAGGTGTATAGTTTACTGATAGTTAAAGGAATGCTTATACTAGTATCTAGAATCCTTTTCCTGTTTTAAGATGAGCTAATTGTTTCTAGTCTTAATTTCTTAGGCTTAAACTCTTGGTGAGACAAGGCCTTGAGAAATAGTAGAGGAAGAAATGGCTTTGGGCAATCTCTTTTCCTTTTAACTGTGGAAGACAGAACAAAAGATGCTGAAGTTCTGTGCAAAACCAGTGCTGCTGTTCTGTAAAAGTCCAAAAATCTAGGTCTGTAAGCTTTAGTTCCTCCTGGTCCCTACAGCTGTCCCTCCTCCTCCTGTTCTTCCCTTTTCATGCCTGCCTCATTCTCTCTGCTGTCCTCAGGCCTGCTGAGTTATTCCATGCCCCTGTTGTGAGCTCAGTGGATTTTTCAAAATGATGACTTTATTTTTTTCCTGCTCTTCACAGTCCTGCCAGACTACCCTCCAGCAAAATGCATTTCAGGTATGAGCTCTTGCCAGCCCTCTAGGAATAAGTCACTGCTTCATTTCTTTGCAAAAGCAATACCTTCCTCTATCTCATGGGATACAGGAATAGAAAATTCATTTGTATGGGATGTTGGGACTCTGGTGACACAAAGCTGCTCAGGTTTTTAGGAGAGCTGTAGATGTTATCATCCAAGGCATTTCTTTTCCTTGTTGCTTTATTTTTCTCCTTTGGTAGGGTAGTCCTGTAAAAATAATTCATTAATCTACTGCATTGGCAGAGAAAAATAAGACTTGCTGTTCAGAGAAGAAAACAATATGAGGAACAGCCCTCCTGCTTAGGAACTGCGGCTATTAGTTTCTGTTGGATGAGGATGAATAGTAGCTTGTACTTCCTACTTATAATAAGAATAAACATTTTTCCTGGGCTGTTTTTTAAGTTCAGACAATTCTACCAAGACGTAGTTGTAATGTATTGGCTTCACTCTCCTTAAACAACCTCCCCAAACCATCAAACAACAAGCATAGTGGTGTTTCTGCCTGTTTTCTGTGATATGGGAGAGAATATGAAGCTCCAGGAAGCTATGATATGCTTCTGTCCACATTCTTGCCACCTTCACATGGGCTCAGCTGTAATATTCCATCTTGTCCTAGGATGGGGTAATCCTGGCTGTTCATACAAACTGGGCAACAAGGGGTTGGAGTGGAACCTTGTGGAAAGAGATCTGAGAATTCTGGTCAATGGCCAGTTGAACATAAGTCAGCAGTGCCCTGGCAGCCAGGAGGGTTCTCCCTGTCCTGGGGACATCAGGCACAGCTGGGAAAGAGAGGGGATTGTCCCACTCTGCTTTGCACTGGGGTGGCCTCACCTCGAGTGCTGGGGGCAGTTTTGAGTACATCAATATAATGAGGGCATCATACGATTAGTGTGTCCAGGGGAAGGGCAAGCAAGATGGTGAAGGGCCTTAGGGACAAAACTTCTTAGGAGTGGCCATTTGTCCAGCTCTTGTCCAGCTTGGAGAAGGGTGAGGGTGAGCAGCAACTTCATTGCAGTCTGCAGCTTTCTCAAGGGGGATAGAAGAGGGCAATCTGATGCTGATCTCCTCTCTTTGGTGAGAGGAAATGGAATGAAGCTGCATCAGGGAAAAGTCCAGATTAGGTAGTAGGAAAAAGCTCTTCTCTGAGAAGGAGGATGGTCACTAGGCTGCCCAGGGAAGAGGTCATAGCACCAAAGCCTGTTAGAATTTATGAAGCATCTGGATGGGACTTTTAGTCATATGGTTTGGTTTTACGTAAATTTAGTGAGGAGCAGAAATTTGCTTTCATAGTCCCTATGGGTCAATTGCAGCTTGAAATATTCTATAAATCTAGGATTTCTTTGCTGGAGTCCAGGTTTGGCTGAATAGCACCTGGCTAGTTTATCCTTAGGATATTTAGATCATGGTAGTTCTTTCTGTATTTGAGAGCAGTGATATTATCTGACAGATTTTATCACTGCTAAGTGGTCCCCTTTAGACTTGTTTTTTCTTAGCCTTTTGTAGACACCTAAAGTTGTTATATACCTTTAGTCCATGGGGGAAAAAAAAAGTCTTAGCTGTAATAATCCCTTGTCTCTTTGTGGCCAGAGTTCACTGTGAGAATCATCGTCTCCCTGAAGAGGGAATGTGGCAGTTCTGAATTTCTCAATTTGGACATCTTTTATAGTGAAACAGAAATACATGTCAGCATTAAGTGCTGCCTCTTGCTTTTCTTAATTTCTGTGTTGTAGAGATTCTCCCACTGTTCCCTGTGTCTGTTTTCCTAGAGAAGCTCGAAAAGTCCTTCCACCAAACCTCAGAGCCCCAAGTGTACATCAAGACCCAGTTACCTGCTGCTGAATGTCCTGGACCTTTCTGCTGTCTCTCCTTATTACCTGACCCTTTCACTGATGACAATCTGACTATGGAGAGAACTTCTGAAGTACTCAACTCCTTCATTTCAGTTGACTTGAAAGGGAATTAGATGTCTGTTTAATGCAAGTCTGTATCTGAGATGACTTCTTCACTGCTATGCAGAAATCTGGGCTGGAGCAGGGCATTAAGAAAGTCTGGGTTGGTGCCTTCACAGTGAATCTCCCTCCCTTCTACAGAGCCTGCTCAGTCATGCAGGCTGTCTCTGGCCCTCAAGGAGCTATTTTCTATACTGACTGTTACTGACTTTGCTTGTTTGTGCAGAGACATTTTCTGACTGTCTGGTAATAAAGTTTTTGCTACTGCTTGCTCTCTGTCCTGGTTAACTTGCTGATGCATCAGGATGATGGAAGGGGGTTGGAAAGCTCTTTTGTCTTATTCTATTATGCTGTACTGTAGAACAGAGTGCTTCACATATGGATAGCAGTGTAGGCAGGTAGTCTTGTATGCAAAGCTCAACCTTCCAACATCCATGATGTGGAGAGCCACATTAGAGGGAGTTCACTTTTAAGATACAAGTTATAACTTGGGACATTTTCTCAAAGCATTTTCCTTGCTCTGCTGTGAGATTCCTCTGGATTTTTCTGTTGTTGACAGCATGCCCCTGGCACTCATCACCTGCCTACTTTCATTAACTTGTCTATTATTTTTCTAGAGTGCTAGTAAATATTGCAAAATTACAGCCTGCTTTTTGGCAGATTTCTTGCCTTACCCCTAGTGTGCTTTTCCTCAACAGATTGGGGCTTTATCTTATGATGCTATCCTTTTTCTAATAATGTTAGAGGCAACTGTCAGTAATCTTATGTCCCAGCTGTTCTTGGTTTTGAGAGTAAAATTTGAGAGACATTGTACAGAAACCAAATATATTCCAGCTGCTTCTCTAATAATAAACAAGTACTTTTGTGACTAGTAGGACTAATGAAAACTCGCTTCCCATGGCTTTCTATCTCATGGATGATTGACTTTTTAATTAAATTATTCTAAAGCTACAGTAGTGAGGTAGAGATTTATAAGACATCAGAAAATTCACAAAAAGTGGGAATGAAAAGTGAGAAGGAGTTGAAGAGAGTATTTTTGCCATGGGACGAACCTGAAGTGAGTTTATAACTAGGAGTGAGCTTTGGAGGATTCATAATAGTGTAAAAATATGTATAAAAGTTAGAACTGCTCATGTCTCATAACTGCAAAGTTTTTGAGAGATGCTTTTTCAGCAATTAGGACACTCAAAGCAAGGTTTTCTCATAAAGATTTCTTAACTAATAAAGGCTGAGCTCATACTGATATCTTACCTTCTTTATTTACCATAACTTTACCATAACGTAACTTTTTATAAATGAATTTTTTTCCTCTAGTAGATTGTTTATCTTCCATGAAAGTTGAGGGATATAGTAAATTTGAAGACCTCCGTCCAAGTGGAATGCCATCAAAAAATAGATTTGTATATGATTGTGCCAGAAAGACATATATGCACAAAGGCAGCTTTCACACAGAGCTCCAAACCTGGCTGGTGTCATTTAGAGAAAGGTTTTGTGGTCTTTGCAGTCAAAGCAGGCATTTCTTAGGGAATGAATTGTTGTGGCATGAAAGATGAGAATCTGCCTGGATACCCAACTCATCTCAGGCCTTGTTGCTGGTTTTCCCCATGGCTCTGCTTTTTCCAAACTTCTCCTTCAGTGTCCTTATTCTTTGCACTGTCATTTCAACACTTCCACATACTGTGTGGCCTTTCAGAGTTGAGGATGTGCTTGTTGTGAAGTTGAAAGGTAGTTGGAAAGGCAGTGAACTTATGCCAAAAAGAAGTGGAACTTTGTTCTGTGGACTGATGGTGTAAAACATGTTCTATTATGGTATGAGGAAGATCTTTGATTTGCTGAAATATTTGGACATTAACTGAACACTGTTTATCCTCATCATCTAAAATGAAAGCGACAATCCAGTGGTGTGTGGTGTTGGGCTGTTTTGTGTGTGTGTCCTGGGGTGACTTTATGATACTAGTATCCCCAAACGCCTGGTTTATGTTATATATTAAGTTCCGCACCTTTAAGATTGGCTTTGAGAGCTAAAGCAGTTAAAATTGCTGGAAGCTGATGGCAGTTTTTCTCCTGGCCAATAACTGGCCATTTCTGAGAATTGACAGTAGTTTTAACCATTGAAAAGTGAGATCAACCTGTGAACACCACCTTAAGACCTAAGCCCGAGACATTCTTTCTCTCTTTGGTTTCTGTCTTCTGAAGAGGTAACAGGGGTCTGGTTCAGCCTCCTCCTCACCCCCACCAGGCCAGACAAGGCCGTGGGGTGCAGGGGTGAGGGGAAGCAGGGCCTGCCAGGCCAGGCCGGTCCCTGGCTCGGTTTCAAGTTTCTGCTGCTGCTGAGTTTCACCAGGGACTGCCAAGTAAAGGGAGGAAAAGCTCGACCTGCAGCGTGCTGAGACAGTGGACACACTCCTCCAGAGCAGCTACTGAAAATCTTCCATGGCAAAAGCTCCAGCTGCTGCCCTGGCAGAGATCACGGCACCAGCCACAAAGCCTGGGCAAGATTTTAACTCTATCACTAGCCAGATGAGACTTGCAGATTAATCTTTTTTTTTTCCAGAGAGAGTGATCAACATGTAAAGAGACAACATAAACTATCAAAGACAGTGAAGAAAGGAATTAAACTTCAGATAGGGATAGAAATACGGAGATGCTTTAATAAGCTGAAATGTTCTTTTGTTAAAGCTATGGAAATGGACAATAGTGTTCTGAAAAACTCCTTTAATTCATAAAATAAGTATTTTACTGGGAATAGAGTATTTCAAAATGTAGATTTAAGCAAATAGTGAAGTAGTTGTGATTTTATGTGATGCTAGAACAAAAACAGAGAAGAGTTGTTGAAATTTGTGGCCTTTAAGAGGCAAAGAGAAAACTTCTGTTTCCAGAAATGCTCACAGAGACAGATGAAGGGAATTTTTACCTTTGAATAACTNTGGCTTGGAAGTTAATATCTACATCATGATTTGTATGTAATAAATGCCTTATTCCTGACATAAGTACTAGAGAGGATTGGACTGAAGGTATTTCTCCCATGATGGGTTGGTTCAAAACATTGTCATGAGGTCTTGGATGATGCTTGGGAAATGTTTCTCCTCCAGTCAAATGAAGCAAGAAAAGAACAGGGTGGGCACATTAATGTGCTAGAAGAGACTGTACTTATCACATATATTGGTTATATGTGAATTCCCTTTCTTTCTATGCTTGGATCACAGAGGGAAGAGCTGTCTCTAGCAGCTGATCTGTGGTGCCCCATCATTCAGTCACCTGGTGGAGGCTATCATTTAATGATATTTCTTTCTGATGAGCCTCCCAATGTCCCCTCAGGGCTCTGGCTTTGTCAGGATTGCATGTTTCAGACTGTAAAGAACTTTCAGGCTTCTTCTACTGTAGCATTTGATAGAAGAAGTCTTACTATATTCTCTCTTGTATGCTGCTGATTATGTCTTAGTAAGTTTGAGTAGCTATTGTATTTTTGCTTTGGTATTATTATAATAATATTTGTCTGTACGTTCTTTAGAATTTTCAAAGTTCTCTGAGGAGCTGGGAAAGTTGAAAAGAGTTGGCTGCAGAGGGCCTAAGCTCTTTCTTGATGTAATTACGCACTCCAATATTTAAACTGAAATAAAGTCAGTGGATCTGTTCAGGCAGACTTGTTGACATGTGGGGATGGGAATATGTAGTGGGATCTGTTGGACAGGTTCATGTTCAGCTCAGGAAAGCTGCTGAGATCAAACACTGAGTGACAGAGAGCCACTCTCTTAGAGCCAGTGGTGCTGCAGGTGCTTTAGCACCTGACAGCTTCAGAGATGATACTCCTTTATATGCTACCCTGCAGAGAATAGCATAAATTAGGGCCTATGCAACGAGGCCTTAAACAGTTTAATTCGGTGGATGGTAAGTACTGCTGATTTCCCTGATCCTTCCAGGATCTAATTCTTTAGGCACTTGTGTCAGTGAAATTACTCTTAACCCTCAGTTTACTGGGAGTGTTGCTGTACCTAGTAATGAAGAGATACTTGTGATCTCTGGTATTTTTGGAGTGGACAGCAGCAATCACGGTGTGTCTGCTTTTACCATGTCTCTTTGGGATGCTGTTGGAGTTAAGCTCTATAACACGACTGCCCATCGAGATTTTTACAGCTGCTAAGCTGCCCCCAGTGTGTTGTGTGCTTATTGACATATTTAGTGAGCAGTCTAGTCTGGCTGGATCTTCAATAGTCCCCTCAGCCCCGCTGCTGCAACTCTGCTGAGGGAAAAAGTGTCACTGCATCTGCTACATCTTCATCTTATTTATGATGGACTTCTGGGATGATATAGGTGTGAAATTACGGGACTGTGCCATGAAAGGGAATAAGGCAGCGGCTGGGATGCTCCCCTCATGGAGAGTGATTTACTAGACTATGGACAAACAGGAACAGTCTCAAGCTGTGGGTAATGATACACTATGACCAGCAGTCCTGCCAAAGGCTCTAAATTCTTTTGTACAGCCATCCACTCCTCCTCCCCCACCGGAGGTGAGAGAAAGATACCGGGCACCGCGATTTGTGGCAGCTTTTGCTGCCACCCACTACCCTGGGAATGGAGATGGGGAGGATGAAGAATTCCCCTTTGACCCTGGACCTGTTGACCCTGAAAAAGAGCCAGACCTTTACCCCTGGCATGGTGCCTGCCAGGAGCCTCGGCTGTGACTGCGCTGGGGGTTCCCCCTCACCTGGTTCCAGCCAGCACAGCCCTAGCCTGCACAGCATGCTGAACCTGTATCCCACCAAAAGAACAACTGACACTCTGTACCCACCGAAACTCTTGTTAGTGTTCAGGAACACACATAATCATGGATTGATTATATGCAGGTGCTTTATTGAAGCGTGTGGGAACCAGGGGTATCAGCAACCCAAAGCTAGCTCCATTGTCTTTGTCCAAAGTGCACATATTTATACAATTTCATCTGTAGCAGTAATCACTATAACAACCTTATCAATATTTCTTCATTAATAAATCTTCATTAACTTTATCTATATTGCTTCATGAGAGTTAGCTCATCCTTGCATGAACATGTACGAATCTTATCTCTGGGTGGGTATCGTGGAGACCCCAAGTACCAGCTCCCTTTACTGTAAACATTTCAGCTTGCTAGACAATCCCTAATACCAAGCATTCTTGACGCCTAACTCTACAAGATTTTAAGAAACATTTCTGGAAACTAATTTAACCCCATAGTAACACTCTGGTAACATTTACTTTCTAATTTCAATAACCTGTGATTTGTGATTTTTTTACAGGATTGTTACTGGAAAGATTCAAAGCTGTTTGTGTGGATGGGGTG